GCTGCTTTATAGACGTCATCCATGACTGCTGGTCGGTTCTGGACTCGGCCACACCGCTGCCTTCAGAACCAGGACAAGCTCTGGCAGGAATATGTTGCTCTGTCTGCTATGTTGGCTCATATGGCATCTAAAAAAGGTTCTGGCCCAACTTTCATTATCCTATGATAGTGGAGGGCGGGAGGAGTGACAATGAAGAAGAGAGGCCATCTATAAATGGAAAATAACAGAAGAAACCTAAAAATAGATAAACACTGTGAGCATGCAGCCTTATGGTGGATGTGTTACATTATTCTGAAATATGAAATTATGATTTTTACAGGAAAGAGACGCACTGAAGCAAAAAGCCGTACAAATGAGTTCTGAATCAATGGGTCAATCCACGGGATGAAAGCAAAGTTAAATGTAGTTTGTGGCAAAGTGCGACTGGATGAACTCTTACAGTACAGTCAGCAAGAAGGCGTCAACCAAACAGAGAAACATCAGGCAAAGTGACAAGAACAAGAGACAGAAAATGAACAATCTTTGCACATCCTGACTGTGAAGTACGGGAGTGGCAGCATCATGCTGTGGAGGAACTGGTAATGAAATAATATCATGTGGAAATATTGGAGCAACATGCACAGGCATCAGCAGGGCGGTAAAGATGGACGATGTTTGGTTCTGATCTGTGGGTAGATCTGACCCAGTCCTGACCCAAGAATGGACCAGAACTCCACCAAACTACAGTGAAAATCTGACCCGAGTCAACCAGGTCAACGGAAACGCCACCAAATACTGAGGGAACATAAACGTTGCTTTTGAAGTCATAAATAAATAAATCTGAACAATTATTTCTCTCATTGTTGTGGAATTTGTAAAACAAAGTGTGTCTGATTTAACTTCACACTGTTGTCATACTGTGTTTGCCTGGGTTTACAGACTGCTGATACTATTAAAATGGTCACTGTAATTTTACACTTACAGTAATGAAAATTATGACTGATTCTTAAATTAAAACACTTTTCATGGCCGTATTTACAGGCTTGTGTGTTGATCACATATAGAAAAAACAATAGTTACACAGTCAGGGTTATTTTCAGCAGGTGTCCTTGACAAGAAATAGTTGTCCTTTGAAACGGGGAGGGCGACGGAGAGTTTATGGCAATAAATGTCAGAGACTCGCACTATGCAGAATCAGATGGCAAAGAGCAGCAGCTGCCTGGGCCTCTAAGCTCCAGAGCCAGGATCCGTGAGCGTGAAGAACTGCTTTTTGCTACTTAAAGGATTCCAAATAATTAAAGCTAATCCCATTGATTATGCATGTGTTACTTCCAGGCCAGACTAATTTATTATCAGGATGTCCAAGAAGCTTTTTGCAGAGCTTCCAGCTCATCTAAAATGCCAGTCAAGAGCTCTGATGGCGAGCATTAAGAGAATTCACATCTCCTCACTTTTTACATCTCAAAAGGGTTAAAACTAGACTTTCTACACAACAACTGCCAAACTTACTAGAAGATCTGCTAAAGATACATAAAATGTGTCAAAAATAATTGTTTATTGCTGCTGCAAAATCTGATTCAAACAATAAAAAACGAATCATAGATGGCAGTAAAAACATCAACAAATCCCAAAACTTCTTTGACATTTAATAATGTTTGAACCTGCAGTCAGTCATGTCCACTTTTACTTAATGAAACAAATTCTGATCAGTAAAAGTTATTAAAAATGAAACATGCTTCCTGGTATTAATTTTTTTATAATTACCATCCTCATGTTTCGAAAAAAAAAATCTAAAAGTTGTGGCATGGATTTGCATTATTCTCACATTGAGCCATTTTATAGGACAGTCAAGTAACTATGTTCCCTTCTTTTTGTAAAAATGCTACTCACCAAAATTGAGTTCAAGAAATTTTACTTCGTAATTTAACTGCTTGAAATTGGGCCTCCGTCTCTTTAAAAACTCCTGCTGTTTCCGAAGCTCCGCCTCCAGGAAGTCCTCCCAACATGGCTCCTCTGTTAACCTGTCAGTGTTTTTATCAGCGTAGCTCTGAGCAGTGGCTCCTATAATGAGCTCAGCAATTCCACCAGGTGTTTGCTAATTGCTGCTGGCTAGTCTGAAGGAGCTGAAAGAGGGAGGAGCTACACCTCAAAGGCGGGCCTAGTTCCACCCAGACGTTTTGCAGTTAAATGGTTGCATGGAGTTCAAAGGATGCATGAAAGAATCAAAGCAACACTCCAGGTTTGTTTTTGATGAGGGAATAACATTATGATAACATGATATAAAATTTAAAAAAGAAAAAGGTTAATTTTTCATAATATTGCAGTTTTAGGCCACCTTGAGTTAATTTTCTGTGGAACAGGGTTTCCAACTTCAGTGTCCAGGGGCTTCTGCATGTTTTAGTTCCCATCCTGGTTCAGCACACCTGGACCAGGCCTCTGCAGAACACTGACACACTGAGCCCTGACCCCGCTTCATTTGTTTAATTTCAAGGTGAATGCTGCCACCTGGTGGCCAGTGACTGTTATGGCTGCGCTAAAATAAACCCAAGTCATCTGAAAGAGGATGATTGCAATTCCCTGTGGTTCTGGTGCAGGAGCTGTTTACTGGGCAAAGTGGGAACAAATCTAGATTTAAGGTTTTCAGGAAACTGGTGTTGATTCTGAAAGCATTTTCTTTCATGAGAGTTTTTATTATTGTGGGTTTTATTAGTTCCTGAAGATCTTTAGATGCTGAGATAAAATGATCAAAAATGATCAGACACACACACACACACACACACACACACACACACACACACACACACACACACACACACACACACATGCTCAGACACACACACACACGCATGCTCAGACACACACACACACACACACACACACACACACGCACACACACACACACACACACACACACACACACACACACACACACACACACACACATGCTCAGACACACACACACACACACACACACACGCAGTTCTGGATGTTGCAGATTTTGCAGATGTTGCAGAACAGAATCAGTCATGCTGTCTGACTCACGTTTTCTCCGTTTTGTTTTCTGTTGCAGAGAAACTATCATGTCGTATTAAAAATGAAACAAGACCACAAGCAGAACCAAGTGTGCAAGAAAACATGAGTACTTTAAATAATTCAGGGCAACTAATATAAAAATTAGCTTGTTGCTGAATGAGACACCAAACAGACATGAACAATGAAGGACATGTCATTAAATAAGCAGTTTGCATGAAAAATGTTACAATTTTCAGCAATTATTCATGCAGTCTTTAGAGACCAAAGGTAAAAGCTTCAGATTTATTTGTAATTGTGCATATTGATATTTTCTTTGTTGAGCAGAGCCGCCTCTGGATCCAGAAGCTCTTTTCTTTTTTAACCAGGAAGTAAAACCTCAACAGTGAAAGCAGCAACTGAGAGCAACCAGCTTTGCTGCTGATTCTATGACCCTCAAGTCAGGACAGATTTACATCTGATTGGACCGCTGATGGCGCGTCTGACCTACAATCTGCTGCTTTCTCTCTGCCATCTCCATGGGCAAAGGTTTCCATGGGAACAAGCCCTGGGCTCCTTTAATCTCTTGTTTTGCAGCCCTCGCTCATCTGGAGGCAGGCTGGATTCCTTTTTGTCAAACTCATATTCTTCTGCTCTATTTCCTCCCACAGCGCTCCCTCTCTCTCCCTCTCTCTCCCTCTCTCTCCTTTCTCTCTTCCTCCATCTCTCTTCTTTCTCTCTCTCCAATGTCAGCATTACTCCTCCTGACTCTTCCTTCTGACTCATGCTCTTCTGCTCACTCCAGTTTCCAGTTATGAAACGGTTCATGTAAATCAGCTGTAGAGTCTCTGCAGATTTAGCTGCAGAGAAGCTGAGAATCTGAGCAGATTCCTGGTGAACAATTAAGATTAAAACTGGAAACATAGACGCAACAGATTCTCTAAATGATATAATTTCACACACAAGTTTATTGTAAAATTATCTTTGATTGGCTCCCGAACCCAATTTATGCCCACAGACCCACTGAACCGTATGCATGCTAACGTATGTAGCATATATAATGTAATATTCATCTATGTATTTATACTTTTACATTCTTTATGAATGTTGACTTTGAACTGAATTTATATTCCTAGTTTAGCTGAGAAAAGTTAAATTAAATTAATAAGTTTTGCACAAAGTCCAAACATTTTATAAACATGATCATAAATGATATTAAACAAAAATGATCATCACTGTTGCTGTGACTTTTGATCCACAGCATCTTGTTGTCAATGAATAAGATTTGATATTTAAAAGTACAGCTGCTATCTGTAAATATACCAGAACCTCTCAAGTTCTGGTTCTGGTTCTGGTTCTGCTCTGCATCCAGAACCAGAACCAAACACGGAGAAGCAGCATTCAGTTTATGCACCACAAATCTGGAACAAACTTCCAGAAAACTGCAAAACAGCCGAAACTCTGAGTTCCTTTAAATCAGGGCTAAAATCCCAAAGTTTCCTTCGATTAATAATCAATGGAATTTCAATCAATACATCTGATGTGTATTGATCATTTTAACTTAACAAAATGTAATATTTGTTTTTGATTTTCACAACTGTTCACAATCTGATTTTTTTATGCTTTCAAAGTAAAAGTCTTTGCTCTGCCTTGATGCTGAAATGTGATCAAATATAATAATATGCTCAGTTTAACTTATAATTTGTAATATGTTTATTTTCTCTTTGGACAATATTTTATAAATTGTCACAAATTCAGAAAATAGTCATAAAAATTACAATAAAAAAGTCTATCTATCTATCTATCTATCTATCTATCTATCTATCTATCTATCTATCTATCTATCTATCTATCTATCTATCTATCTATCTATCTATCTATCTATCTATCTATCTATCTATCTATCTATCTATCTATCTATCCCTTCATCCATCCATCCATCCATCCATTGTTCATGTCTCCCCCCCTCCCTGCACTTGGTCGCTCCCAGACGGATCGCCGCAGCCGCGGCGGCAGCAGCGATCCCAGCCATGATCCCTTGTGTCGCTGCTGATGATGAGGAGGATGAAGCTCCGTGTTTCTGAATGAATCCGGGGCTCCGCTGCTGCTGCGGCTGCTGGACGGATGCATCGCTTCCTGCCTTCCTTCCTTTCCTCCGTGTTCGTGCTGTTGTTGCTGCTCGCTCTCTCTGCGCGGGATCTCAGTGATTATGGACGTGCTGTGTTTTCTGTGGATGCTGCCGGCGGTGTGGGCTGTGGAAGGTAAGCCTGTCTGCCTGCACAGACCTGCGCTCCTCTATCTGCTGCTGACATCAGGAGGAAACCTGCAGCGGGAAAACATTCAATGCATTTATTGTTATTACTGCTGCTGTTGTTAATATTATTGATGCTGTCCATGTGAGCCTGCAGCCTGATTTTGTAGGATTTTGGGAGATTCGGGGCCTTCCTGCAGCGATCCTGTGAAAACTGGACCCAGCAGCTCAGAAAGTAACTCTGTATCAGTTTGGTCCAAATCAGAACCAGCACAAAGCAATTAGAGCTACATTCATTCAGGACTGTACATAAAGTAAAAGAAAATATAATGAAATTAATTAAAGACTTTCCTACAAACAACACAGTGAAACTAATCAGTATCTGTGAAGAGGGAGATCATGAAATTCGTATCAAACAGCTGCTGGAAGCCTCTTATAATTAAATGATTAGAAATAAAACGTATGTTTCCAATAAAGCCTTAAATTATTGTTTAGTTTTGGATAAACTGTTCAGTTGGGTCTCTGGAACATGAATCTGTTTGGTAAAAATTGTTGGTTTTCAGGGAAGGATTGTGTTTGGTAGATTCAGGGATGAACTGTCATAAATCCATAATTAGACCAAATATTTATGGTTTTGTAGGTGACTGAAAATATGCTTCTGTCTGCAGCACAAGGCGTCAGAGAACTGCTTCTGTTTGAACAGATTCTTAAACACACACACACACACACACACACACACACACACACACACACACACACACACACACACTTATCCAATGTTTCAAACTGTGAAGTTGGTTTAATCAGTTTAAATTGAGGACAAATTCATCAGTGATATAAAGTCCTGTTAGCTCTGCTCATCGTCAGACTATTTGCTTTTTAAAAAGCTAATTTCATGCATTTTTAATTATAAAGGTAGTCCATAACCTGTCAGGTGTTTATTAAAAAAGGAAAGGCGTTTTAAGGGCGTTGGTTGCAATAAATCAATTAATCGCAAGACAAATTAAAATGAGATCCATAATTTCCATTTCTCTTTTTCTCTTTCTACCAAAAACTGGATAATTAAAGTGTTCAGTCTGATCCTTTTAATCTCTTCTGAAGGATAATTTTGCTAAAAATCTCCATGATTCTTTTTATTTGTTGTTTTGCTTATTTATTTTGGATGTTCAAAATATCCAAAATTAAATGTTCAAATTCAAAATATCTTCCAGTTCCAGTATAAAATGTTCATTTCAATTTAAAGTTTATTGATTTTTGAGAATGTTTTCTTGCATTATTACTATATTAGTTGAAAATGGTCTGAAACAATACTATTGTTCATTACAATAACTAATGGGACCATGTGGCTTGTGGGACCATGCCTCACTGACAGGGGGCAGTGCTGAGCCCCAGACGCTCTTCTTCTACGCATTGAAAGACTTTATTAAAAGTGTCCTGTCAAGAACTGTTGTCATAAATGTCATTCTGTAAATAATGGCACTTTTAATGCAAAGCTGCATTAAAACGTGCATAAAAAGTCCATTAAAAGTGTTCATGACATGTTGCGACATGTTTATGACGTCAGCCTCATGCAGACTCTTCAGGTGAAACTGAGTCTGCAGCTGTTCATCTCCAGTCTGTCTGGTTTGTGAGCTGCTCATGTTTCTTCTTCTCCATCTGAATGCTGGTTCAGGTCGCAAAATGTGTCACTTCTGAGTTTTTCTGCAGCTTGGTGCCAACCAGCATTTCTTCCATCCTCCCCCTGGATGGGAGTCAGTCTGAATCCTGAAGCCATGATGTTGATGCGCAGCGCTGCTGTTCCTGCACACTGACTGCGTCTCCTTTGCAATGTGCTCAAATCCCTGTCAATATTACGCTAATGTCGGAAAAACAACTTCACAATCGGAAATCACTTGTGAATACATTAATTCAGGTGTTAAGTTACGATCCGTACCTTCAGCTTATTTGCGCTGACGAAATATTTCCGGATTATTCTTAAATTTACAGCAACAAAGTGTAACATATCTATTCATATTAATTTCAATGACTTAATGAATAGTTGGCATAATGTAGCTAAAAGATAATATATAGAAAATTGTGTTGGATGTTAGCTGGTGGTTACCGTCAGTGCGCCCCCTGGTGGACACGATAAAAAGACCCTTATTTTATAATAATCATACATTTTATGAGATTTGCTAAATGTGTTATGACCAGAAAGAGTCATTTATCACTTATCTTCTGTCACGTTTGGTTATTATACATTCATTCAGGTGATTTTTCCAGAATCTCAGTGTCCATGAAATGATCATCAGAAAGGATTTTTTATTAACTGATTCCAGTTGCATCTGCGATGAACTACATCTGTCAAGGTGTGAATTATAATCTGTCAAATGACCGACGGGCTTCAAATTTTCCCGTCGTTTAAAAAAATAATCGTTCAAATACAGAAATATTCTGTTGGCGCCCCCTGCTGTTGAACTCCTGCTCTAGCGATGGGAAAAAAGTTTTTATTTTTACATTGGAAAAATAAAAACAACTTTGACTCAGCCACAGAAATACCTCAACAGTCAAAACAAAATTAGTATGTAAGCAGTAAGCAAATATTAGATTGTTAAACTGAGTAATTATTGGCTCGGTGGAAACGCCGCTGCTGACTTTGAGCGGTTGCTTGTCGTGCCTGCTGCACCTCACCATGCGTTTCTCTGCAGCCCTCTGGGGCGGCCATGTCTGCTGCTGTGGATCCTGGTCTTGTGCTCCAGACTGATGAGATTTATTGTAACATTTCTGTTCGTTGTGTGCCAGGAGGAGTGCATGAAATCAACTTAAATGGCTTCTTGGGACACGTTTTGTGCAAACATGCAGAATCAGGACACAACAGAGAGGCTGTTCTCATCCTGGAGGTTTTATTATTTCTGTGTGCTGATGAATAATCCATGTGGAGGTAAAAAGGAGTGAAACACAAACTCATTTCAGCATCATTATATTGGTTTTCTTATGTTTTTGGAACATGAGAAAAAAAATTTAAAGAAAAGCCAATAACCCAAGATTCACAAAAAAACATAAATGTCCAGATATTGTGTTCAAATCTTCTGTCAGTGTTTTGGTTTGGATAAAGATGTCCTGATAGGAATGACCTCATCGTCCACTGATGCATCAGTTTCACTGTAGCATTTATTCACTCAAGCATATTTTCTTTCCCAACGGATCAGTAGCTTTAGTCCATGTTATTTCTTCTCACTCAATCTCTAGTGGACAATCTCCAGAACCCACTGGTGTGTGAGATTTTCCCAACAGCTCTGCAAAATGTCCAGACAATTAGTGATTCATGCAACATTAGCTTGAGATATTCCAGAGGATTTCTATGACTGAGTGAGCTGATTCAGGCTTGATTGCATTAAAAATTCTCGTTACATAATCAATCGCATTTCTTCTGAGGCGGAACCTTTGTATGAGCGTTTCTGGTTCGCCTGTTAACGTGACACACAGGCTACATCCGCTAACAGCAGCGAGGAACGAAGTGGCTTCCTGCGGCCCGCTAGCGCCTCCATCTGTTTGGATGCTGGAAAAATGATTGTTGCATCAAGTTGTGCTAACAGGAGTTAGCCTATCAGTTAAGCTGTTTTAAATAGCATCTCAGTGCTAAACATGGAGCAGCTAATGCTAATGTTAGCATCCATGTTTAGAAAGGAAGAATTTTGCTCCAAAAACCTGAAGAACAGATTAAAAACTTTAAATATCTTCATTATTCTCCAGCTCTTGTCTGTTTATTCATTCAGCTGCAGAAAGCAAATGGAAATACTCTAAATTTTTTATGCAAAAGAAAAACTTGTTAGTTTTTGTCCAAATTTTTAGCTTATTAAATCAATGCAATTATTCAATTAAAATTAACACATAAATTTCCTGATCCTAATATAAATGCTTATTGTGAAGTGCTGGGATTTGCTATTCCTGCTCCAAAGATGCTGCAGGATATAAAATAAGATTTATTATCTTTATTAGTTGGAAGTTACTTGAGGGAAGTTTATGATTTGATTTATTCATTTCTGCCAACATATTTTTTTATTAATGTCGTGATCCTGGATTGTTTGGGTTTTTCTATCTTTGTATTTTGGTCATTTCCTTCCTTTTGCTTTGCTTCCTTTGTTTTCTCTAAATCATATTTCTGCATCTCGGCTGCAGCTACTCAGCAACATGTGGAGGATTTTATCTCCCAGCAGTAAAATGTGTGCAGATCTTTGCTCATTGAGGCCATGATATGAAACAATCAATCCTGAGTTTTATTGCTGAAGAGATAAAAGCTGACATCACTGCTTGGTTTCTTAGCATGTTTGTCGTCATGATGAGTTTTTTCCAATGAGCCGCGTGGCGTTGGGAGCTAACAGTGTGACGGTTTGCAGGGAGTTTTATGATGTGTCTTTGTTGGTTTGATCTATCATGACATATATTATGTGATGCAGCCTAGTAGGATTATGTGTGCTGGGCTTAGTTGGCCCACTCTCTCCCTCTTTGGCCTACTTTTACTGAATGATGCAGGGACAGAAGCACAAGAGCGCCCTCTACATCCAGGCAGCAGAACTGCAGGAACAGATGGAGCCAGTTGGAAGAATCAAAGCTAATTAACTACAGTCTGCAGGAAAAAAGAAACTATAAAGTCATGCATTTCTAATGTTTATAGTATAAGCAAACATATTTTACAAATCCAAGTCTTTGTGGAGCAAACTAGGTTTTGTCAAGTTGATATAACAGTTTATATAAAAGTTTAGCATGGATTCCTGGTATTTCAAGTGATTTCCAGCTGTTTCTTCTGTCTGTACTGCTGGGAATGAGAACCAGCTCTCATAAATATGCAGCAGAAAGGAGAACTTCAGACACTTATGCACCTCGTTTCTCCATCTTCCACTAGAAGCTCCTGCTGTGCTGAGAACCACATGCATTTTAAATGTGGAACAGCAGCAGCCTCCTTCATTATTAACACACATTCACTCGTGTGTTTAATTCTCCTTCCCTCTGATTATAACGGATTTGTTACTGCATGTCATGTGCAGCTTGGAGAACATTTCCAAACATTCACACAACGAGAATATTTGTCCAAAGCTTCAGATCCCAATGAGTGTTTTTACATTTTTCATCAGGAGTTTATTCCGATTTCATTCTGCCACAAACAGTTAGAGCGAGTCACGTACAATTAGTGTCAAGTCAGCTGAATTTAGTTTTATTAGTGCCTGGGGTTTAGCAATGGCTTCACGACTCTCTTTAACCGACTCAAACCCTCTGAACTGCAGAGAGGAGAAAACTAGAAAGTAACATGAAAAGAAAAAGAAAAATCTCAAAGTATTTCTACTTTGATGCATCATTTAGTCAAAGAATTTTCCAACAAAATTATAAAAACTTATTTTTTCTAAATGAATCCAGCTCCAGTAGAGTTGGAGAAACTTTCCACCCACCAATTCAAAGTAAAATACTAGAAGTGATTTTTCTTTTAAGTCAACTTACTATTTTCAGTTAAATTCCATTTTGCAGTGTAGTGTCTTAATTTATCATTTTATTTCCCATAAATGGGATTATGGACAACAGAAAAATCTTTAAATTACTGTTTAATTAGGGCTGAAATGATTAATAGTATTAATTTGATTAATCAAATTAATCAATTAATGAAATATTTGTCAACTAATTTAGTAATTGTATAATCGCTAAGTACAGTATGAAGCCTACTTGCTGAAAAAACATCAGACTTATAGAAGTAATTAAGCTAAAATGGAACAACAAAACAAACATTTTAAATAATGTACGAATAAAACATTTTAAAATGTACAGAAATCCTCAAATTTCAGTTTTAGCTTCAGACAGTTCAAATTCTGTAAAAAAAAAATATCCTTTTATTTTAGGTGTCCAATTATTGATGATTAATATCAGTAGAACAATTGGTCAATATTTGCCATCTTGTTGTTTGTACCAAACCTCCAGAATAAATCCTGGGTTCACAAACTTGGATCTTCAATACGGAGAGTTTAGAAACTCAACGTAAGTTGGTGACGTCGTGAAAACGTGATGATTTGTGTCTGCACACCAGGCTGTGCTGCAGCCACTGTGCTGCAGCACTGCTTGCTGCAGGAAGCTGTAGCAGAGAGGAGAGGAAAACTTTGGTGCATCTAAAATCTCAGCTTCAGTGTTGGAGCAGAAGCTGCAGACAAGCTGCAGACCCTCCTGGAGTTGCAGACCCTCCTGGAGTTGCAGACCCTCCAAGCTGCAGACCCTCCAAGCTGCAGACCCTCCAAGCTGCAGACCCTCCAAGCTGCAGACCCTCCTGGAGCAGAAGCTGCAGCCGCAGTGCCTCTGAAGTGACTTTTTCTTTCAAAAATAGAAAACGTGAATTAACGCCACATTAAAAAGTGTTGCTACATGTGATTTCAATGCAATTTTCTCCAATGAGTCATTGATAAAGGCACCGTAATGGAAGCTACTAACATTAAAAACACAGTAAGCTTGAAGCAGTTGGTGGGAGTTTTGAACTGTGAGGGCGAATAGATTAATTTGAAATGTGCTGCAGGTCAGCGCTGGTGGCCTCTTTGTTCCTGCCTAACTGTGGCTCTGACACCTGGCTCTCCACTCGCTCCCTGCTCCTCATTAAGCACTGCTGACGCTAACATGAAGCGATCACCCGGAAAAATGGGCCATTTGGTTGCAACTGCTCACATTTTAGCATCGCTCCGATCAGCCAAACCCTGCCAGTCATTTCCCAAAGAAACTCAAATTGTTTCAGTTTGAGCTTCTTTCATTTTGCCGAACCAAAAAAACAAAACTGTAAATTGGAGACAACAAGATAATCAACATTTTAACCTTTAACAGGAAATAATCATGAGAAATGTTGTGTGCAGCAGGAACCCAGCAGTTAGTGAGACTCAAACTTCAGCATCGTGTTTTCAAAGCTCCAGCAGAGACTAAAAATCACAATCACTTCATCCTGTGTGGTTTGGTCAGAGGAGCTGCTCTGCTGCTCACAGCATTTAGCAAAACAGCCTAATAAGCAATAAATCAATTAATTGCACTATAAATTCAAACGAGCTCAATAATTTCTTTTTTTTTTTCCATTTTCTTTCTATTTTTCTACCAATAACTGGGCGATAAAACTCTTCTTTATTTGGACAGTTTGTTTTTTTTTTAGAAACTTTATAATTCATTTTATTTTTCTTTCTGTTGTTTTTCTATTTGGGTATTTAAAATGTCTTCTAGTTCCAGAGTTACATATTCAGTAGGATTTAAAGTTTATTGATCTTTCAAAATGTGTTTTTCATCATTATGCCTTTACCATCATATTACTAGAAAAAAATATTATCGTTTATTGCGATAACTAATTTATTGTAAATTAGTTATCGTCCTGCTTTCACTTTCAGTGAAAGCAGGACGTGAAAGCAGGACACTATGGCCCTTGATGGGGTGACACTACAGGAAGTAAAGAGCATCCCTGGCGGTGTGAATGTGTGAAACGTCAGTTGTGTACGTCATTTCAGATGTCTTTGTTCATCACCTTATTTGCCTCTATGAAGGTTTATTCTGTTGGGCTTACTATGTACTGCTTAATGTGTAAATTATGTAGTCTCTCTCTCTGACCCACACAAACATGGGGCCATATTTATGTTGTTCTGTTGCTGTTAGAGCGCCACCAATTGGCCTGGCGGACCTACTGCAGTGTTTTCACGTTTTTTTACAAACGTTCATCTGCGTGCAGACAGAACCACATTTTGCTTCTTAATTATGTGATCCATATTAAAGGTCCAGTTGTTCATATTTTAGTTTTTTATCCATCCAATAAACAGTTGAAGGAACAAAAGAAGTTGATTTCTTCACAATCTTCTTCTCCTTTTGTGTTTTCTGCAGAGGTTCTGATGGATTCAACCACAGCAACAGCAGAACTGGGCTGGACCATCTTCCCATCACAAGGGGTGAGACAAACAGGGACACAAAGTGGATCTGAATGATCAATAACATTTATCGGTCTGTTTGTGTTTCCGTGTCAGTGGGAGGAAGTGAGCGGCTATGACGAACACATGAACACCATCCGAACCTACCAGGTCTGCAATGTGTTTGACAGCAGCCAGAACAACTGGATCCGGACCCGGTTCATTGCGCGCCGCGGCGCGCAGCGCATCCACGTCCAGATGAAGTTCTCAGTGCGGGACTGCAGCTCCATCCCCAACGTCCCCGGCTCCTGCAAGGAGACCTTCAACCTTTACTACTACGAGTCGGACTCCGACGTGGCCAGCAAGGCGTTCCCGGCCTGGATGGAGAACCCGTGGGTGAAGGTGGACACCATCGCGGCCGACGAGAGCTTCTCCCAGGTGGAGCTGGGAGGACGCATCATGAAGATCAACAGCGAGGTGCGAAGCTTCGGGCCCGTTTCTCGTCAGGGATTCTACCTGGCGTTCCAGGACTACGGCGCCTGCATGTCCATCATCGCCGTCAAGGTGTTCTACAGGAAATGTCCGCGGGTGATCCAGAACGGCGCGGTGTTCCCGGAGACTCTGTCCGGAGCGGAGAGCACCTCCCTGGTGGCGGCCCGGGGAGTGTGCGTCCCCAACGGGGAGGAGGTGGACGTCCCCATCAAGCTGTACTGCAACGGGGACGGGGAGTGGATGGTCCCCATCGGCCGCTGCATGTGCAAGGCCGGGCACGAGGCGCTGGAGAACGGCACACTGTGCCAAGGTAAGGTCAGAGGGCATTTCCTTAAAGGGGCAGTGCCAGGGGTTCTCCAGGCACAGAGCGCCATTTTATGGCATAATCAAGTAACTATATTACCTTTAGTTGTTTCAAATATCAAATGTGATGTAAGTTTAACTTCTTAACTCCTTGAAATTAGAACCCTGTCTCTTTAAGAACTCCTGCTGTTTCCTCTGTTAACCCTTTGACATCATGTTTGAACTAAGCAGCAGCTCCAGCAGGTGTTTGCTAACTGCTGCTGACTAGTCTGAAGGAGCGGAGTGGGGAGGAGCTGCGCCCCGGAGGCGGGACCGCGTCCACACATGGAGATGAAAGGATTTCTCAAACTTGCATGAAAGAATCAAAATCTAGTTTTGTTTTTGATGAAGGAGAAACATGATAACATATAAGTTGATTTTACATGATACTGTCCCTTTAAGATTATGCCCTGAATCTTACATAACTTTTCTTTATTTTTTCTGCTGAATCGGGACATTATGCATTATAAACATTTTGAACAACACGAATGTGACTCCACCAATTACAGCTGTGATGTTTGTCGCTAGGGCAATGGTACCGCCTGACCGACCCAAAGCACCAAAATCATCAGGTCAAAAGTGAGAAAATTAGGAAAATGATTTTCCATAGAAACTTGCTGAATTCACCGTGTTCGAGATGTCAGACTGATGGCGGTAAAATCAGTCATTGTCAAAAACTGATTCCTTGGCAATAATTAACAATGTGATATTTATTTCGTAACAGGGATTTTCCCATCATGCATTAATGTTTCTGCAGTTTGTCAGTGTAGGATCTGTTTGCTGCCGCTGAGTGTGAAGTTTACAGGATTTACAGTTTGATTATAATTAAAACAAACATTTTTCTGCCGCTTCCTTCTGCTCCTTTCGTCTCATATTCCAACATGCTGAGGTTATGGAAAGCGACAGCATCTGTCGGGGTCTCTGTAACTGTCATGCTGATGAGCTGACCTTTGTCAGACGCAGACATGAGCAGGCCTTACGCTTTCTGGAGAAACAAACAGAAATATAGTTTTCAGAACATGTCAAGCGCTGATGTGTGTCTGGACGGATTTTCCTTCCTGTTCCTTCTCCAGCTTGTGTGTCGGGTTTCTTCAAAGCTGCTCAGGGAGATGAGAAATGCCTGCAGTGTCCCATAAACAGCCGAACCATCAGCGACGGCGCGACCAGCTGCATCTGCCGGAACGGCTACTACCGCGCCGACCCCGACCCGCCCAGGATGCCCTGCACCAGTACGTAAACACAGCGGGAGTCACAGAGCAGCGCTCAGCACGCTACGTTACACTGATGATGATGATGATGGTGAATGAGTTACATTTACTCAGTTACTTCGGCAACGCTTTTCAAAACGAGTATTTTTGCTACTTTTATTCTGAAGTATCTTTACTTTTACTTGAGGGAAGTTTCTGGATTTTCTGAATGAAAACAACCAAAAACAGGCAACAGCTGCAGTTTAAAAACTTTTTTTTGAAAATAAAAGTCTTTGTTACTTCTATGAATTATTGTCACCTTAAAATACCAACATTTCCATTTAACTTTGGGTCCGTCTCATGATTAATATTTTAAAATATTAACTGACTGATCATCTGACCAGTTACTCAGAGCTTCACTTTTTACCAAATACTTTCTAAAAATAGGAATGATGATTCTAATGATCAGAGCTGGTTAATTATGAGACATAACTGGACTGAGCCAACAGTTGCAGACGTCTTGTAGACCATCATGTGAGGACGTTCAGCCGGTTTGCTGCTCTGCTTCCCTCCAGCGGTTCCTTCAGCGCCGCAGCGGGTCATCTCCATGGTGAATGAAACGTCGGTGAGGCTGGAGTGGAGCCCGCCGCTGGAGAGCGGCGGCCGAGAGGACGTCGTCTACAACATCATCTGCAAGAGCTGCGACAGCCGGCGGGGCGGCTGCACCCGCTGCGGAGACAACGTCCAGTTTGTCCCGCGGCAGCTGGGCCTGACGGACACCGCCGTCCGCATCAGCGACCTGCTGGCTCACACCCAGTACACCTTTGAGATCCAAGCTGTGAACGGAGTGTCTGACCAGAGTCCGTATTCGCCGCAGTTCACGTCCGCCAACATCACCACCAACCAGGCTGGTTAGTGAACGTCTTTCAAATCTGTTTCATCCATCAAGATCCACCGGGAGAGAAGAAAAACTGCATTTCCTGTCAGGAACTTGATCTTCTGTCACAAATGGGGTTGAGATGCTGGTGCTTCTCCATGCAGACGAATGATTCCATTCACCTTTGACATATACGACTCCATCATATGCATAAAAAGTCGAGTGCAGTTGTTCCACTAATCAGCTCATTTATCCTTAACTGGCAGAGCTAATTGTAGCTAAACATGGACGCTGAGCACACAGAGGGTCTTTCTGTGGCTTTGTCACATTTTCTATCTAACTTATCATCTTTTTCTCAGCACCGTCTGCAGTGTCCATCATCCACCAAGTTAGCAGCACTCCCTCCAGCATCACCCTGTCCTGGTCTCAGCCCGACCAGCCGAACGGCGTCATCCTGGACTATGAGCTCCAGTATTACGAGAAGGTACAAACGTCTTTCCCTGCAACACGGAGTTTCAGCTTCTGAACGGGGAGCAGTGGCGGGTTGAACCGTTTTGTCTGTTTCAGAACTTGGCCGAATGGAACTCGACTCTGACGAGGAGTCAGACCAACACAGCCGTCATTCGGGCCCTGAAGCCTGGAACCATCTACGTCTTCCAGGTCCGAGCGCGAACTGTCGCTGGATTTGGAAGCTTCAGCGGCAAAATGTACTTCCAAACCATTACTACGGGTAAGAGCTCCTGAAACCCTGTAATAGCCACAGATTGTGGGTTTAATTGGTTTTCCTCTTGTTGGACTTCTAATCAATCAAACACTGAAATCCTCTAATTCATTTCTGGCCTGAGGCGCTGACCCATCAGGGTCGGGCATTTAATTCAAGCCAGAATCTGGAGGTCAGATTGTGAGAATCTTTGCAACATGATGGAGGATGAGAGTCTTTCTGTGGTCGCAGGCGGCGGACGGTGGAAGCAGACAGTCTGGCTGGCCAACAGACGCTGCATTTCAGTCAGCTCCAGGTTTACCTTTTGTCTGTTTTTGTTGTGTAGAAGAGTATAACTCCAGCATCCAGGACAAGCTGCCTCTCATCATCGGTTCGTCTGCAGCAGGAGTCGTCTTCATCATCGCCATGACTGTTGTCATTATCGTTTGTCGCAGGTGAGGCAATATTTGATGGTACAGGTAAATAAACTCAGGCAACAGTTGTTATTACAGTAAGAACCAGTGAGCTATACTCTAAATGCATCTAATTTTCTCTCCGTGCCATTTAAACACATTGATTTTATTTGTAGAAGCTCTTTACCCTACAGATCTTTGTTTTTCCTCGTCAGGAGAAGTTCAGACCGACCAGAATCAGAGTACTCTGACAAACTGCAGCATTACACCAGCGGCCACAGTGAGCAGCTCCTTCTGTCTTCTGTCCCGTCCAACAGCTGTAGCGATTACAAGCCGTCTCTAGCTTCTCCGTTTCTCTCCATGACAGTTTCCCCAGGAGTGAAGATCTACATTGATCCTTTCACATATGAAGATCCCAATGAAGCTGTGAGAGAGTTTGCCAAAGAGATCGACATTTCCTGTGTCAAGATAGAGCAGGTCATTGGTGCAGGTAAGAATCAGAAACACAATGTTTGAGGATGAACTGGAATCTTTCTTCACAGTCTGAGATCTTAGTGAAATACCTCTTTGTCCTTTTTCAAACTGCCAACTCGTCTCTCTGATAGGGGAGTTTGGGGAGGTGTGCAGTGGAAACCTGCGGCAGCCTGGGAAGAGGGAGATGCTGGTGGCCATCAAGACGCTAAAGGCGGGCTACACTGAGCGCCAGAGGCGGGACTTCCTGAGTGAGGCGTCCATCATGGGCCAGTTTGACCATCCGAACATCATCCATCTGGAGGGGGTGGTGACCAAGAGCAGCCCAGTGATGATCATCACAGAGTTCATGGAGAACGGATCCCTGGACTCCTTTCTGAGGGTAACGCTGCCACATCGGACACACGATACCACCATGAGCAGCGTTAACTCGCCCTGCGTTCATGCTGACCTGTAAGACTCAGCGACACATTTCATGCATGAAGCTTTATGCTTCCTGCATGAACAGTCTGTGTGGAAAATAGATGCTGACACAACTTTAGAAACATTTATACTCTGTGGTTTGTCGTCTCTGCAGCCCATAAATTTACCATCAGCATCTTAAGGTGTTTTCACGCCAGACAGTCTGGTAGACTATGTTCGATTGGTCCAAGCACACATTCACACTGAACTGCAGAGACAAATGGATTGTAGTTGGATTCAAATGGACCAAATGTAACTGGTGTGAATGCACCATGAGACACTTGCCTTTAGGCAACTGTGGTGCTTTTATAAGGTAATCAATCTGACTTCACAGCGATGACACATTCAGAGTAAATGTATGTAATTGTTCTCTTTCCAAAAGCAAAACGATGGGCAGTTCACGGTGATCCAGCTGGTGGGGATGCTGCGCGGCATCGCAGCAGGAATGAAATACCTCTGTGAGATGAACTACGTCCATCGAGACCTGGCTGCCAGGAACATCCTGGTGAACAGCAACCTGGTGTGCAAAGTGTCCGACTTTGGCCTGTCGCGCTTCCTGGAGGACGACACGTCTGACCCGACATACACCAGCTCTTTGGTGAGTCCTCACCGAACAGCCACAGCGCCTGTGATGAATTCATTTTCAATTGGTGGCAAATTTCCTACGTCCTTCGTCCCTAATAGGGAGGGAAGATCCCCATTCGGTGGACGGCTCCCGAGGCCATTCAGTACAGGAAGTTCACCTCCTCCAGTGACTGCTGGAGCTACGGCATCGTCATGTGGGAGGTGATGTCATACGGCGAGCGGCCGTACTGGGACATGAGCAACCAAGATGTGAGTAAATCCCAGCTGGAGATCAATACAGAAAGTGTTGGTCAGATTTAACAGTTCAAAGTGCTTTACATCATGAAAACATAAAAACATCATTTGGCATTACGTTACATCATCAATACAGAAAATATGTTGGTCAATGTTTCAGTTATTATTAGTCAGAAGTGACTCAAAACAGATGGGATTTAGATTGAGTCTCGATTTAAAACAGCTGAAACAGCTTCATGTTCTGGATGCCAAGCAGAACCAGAACCAGGAGACCTGAGAGGTCCAGAAGATTTGTGATGTGTTTGAGCAGAGTGGTGTGAATTTCCACCCATGTTTGGGCTTTTGCAGGTGATCAATGCCATAGAGCAGGACTACAGGCTGCCGGCGCCGATGGACTGTCCGAGCGCGCTGCATCAGCTGATGCTCGACTGCTGGCAGAAAGATCGCAACAACCGGCCCAAATTCACGCAGATCGTCAGCACACTGGACAAGATGATCCGCAACCCCAACACCCTCAAGACCACAACGCCGCTGTCATCATGGTAGCAGACAGACTCTTCACGCCCTGACAGGCCTGATCACTAATCACTGATCACTGATCACTGATCTCTGATCTCTGATCACTGATCACTGATCACTGATCACTAATCACTAATCACTGATCACTGATCTCTGATCACTGATCACTGATCACTGATCACTGATCTCTGATCTCTAATCTCTCTTCTGTTCTGGGTTTTTGCACCAGTGTTCACTTGCCTCTGCTGGACCGCAGCACCCCGGACTTCACCTCCTTCAGCACGGTGGACGAGTGGCTGGAGGCCGTCAAGATGGGCCAGTACAAGGAGAACTTTGCCAACGAAGGCTTCGGCAGCTTCGACGTGGTTTCTCAGATGACCATGGAGTACGCTGGTTTCCTCTCTTACATCACACGATTCAGATGGATTCATTGACGCTGAAACACATACAGTATACAACAAACATGTATTCAGATCAAATTTACGTGTAGAAGGACGTTCCCGTTAAATCCACAGGAAAGAGGGTTAAAATATTAAAGGTGGGACAGGAAATAACTGCAGTTAATTTTAAAATGCTGCACAAATACGACTACATTTATTAGAAACAAAGGATTTTCTGGAACTACTGGACTTTATTTTACAGAATAAAGAGAAGTGGAAGGACATGCAGCCCAGAGTTCAGGAATATAATAAAATTAAAATATTGAAATGAGATGATCGATATTAGTGCAGTTTTTCTAAAAACGGGCTAAAAATATTCATTATTTAATTAAGTTATAACTCCCCACCCAGTGTGTTTCGCAAATAGAGGAGATGCAGTTGGCTGCTTTAATTGGCTTCAATTAGCTGCAAGACGGTTGAGACTCTTATTGTGAAGGGGTTAGTATGCTTCTGTACATTTTATAACTTTAGTTTGTAAAATGGCCGTGCTTTACGCACAAAACGATTATTGTAGTTATTGATTACTCTATAAATTATTCTGATGTTTAATTGTATTTAAAATTTGACACTTTCTGCAGATTTTTATTGAATGCAGAACTTAAACCCGGTGAAACTGAAACTGCCACTTCATGTTTTGGACAAATTCGCAGCCGAAATTTTTATGTATATTCTAAATGCAAAATGTGTTTATTTGTACAGTTTTGGCTTAATGGGTGTGTGCGGGTCTTGTTCTTTCAGCAGTTTACCTTTTTGATTGTGTTCACAATGAATCTATTTTTAAGTGTCATGAATGGATTAATAGGATTAATGGCTTCAGCCCGAACCCTCATATCGCTCTTCCTGCCTCAGGGACATCGTCAGGATAGGTGTGACGCTGGCCGGCCACCAAAAGAAGATCCTGAACAGCATCCAGTCTATGAGGGCGCAGATGAACCAGATTACCTCAGTGGAGGTGTGATTCCACGGACCCGTCCACTCGGGCTTTGCTCACCGCAGGAGGCCAGCGTCCTCCAGAACTTCTGAGGAGAGCCAACAGCATCCATCCAAACTGTGACCTCACCGAACCTCCCTACAGACTCCACCCGTTCGGGTCCGTCGCTCAGCAGCGCAGAAACGTCGGCTCGTTGTCGTGGCAGGTGCTGCGTTCAGGTAACGGTGCATTCAGGGGCTTCGAGTTGCAGTCAAGCTGCGGCCGTTTGAGATGATGCGCTCTGTTTCCACTCAACACCTCCACCACTGAGAAATCGTCCAACATGACCTGGCAGTTCAGTCGACTGAAGGTCATTTTCATCGGACCTGTGGTGCTTTTGGTGGCAGACGGACTTCGAGGCCTTAGACATCACAGACAATCAGCTGAAGGGAACATCTGGACTGACTGACATCTGTCTCTCACTCCTCCGGCTCTTTTTCTACCAATCAGATTCCCCGACTGTTGGTTTGGCATTGTGGATGAGGGCAGTTTTCAGCTTTTGGATGATATTTATTTTAATATTTAAAGGGGCAGTACTATGTAAAATCTCTCTCTTTTTTACTCTTACATCATGTGATAATGTTATTCCCTCATCAAAATCAAACCTGGAGTGTTGATTTAATCCTTTAATATCCATGGCCACCATTCAGCTGTGCGTGGGTAGAACTAGCCCCGCCTTTGAGGTGTAGCTCCTCCCCTTTCTGCTCCTTCAGACTAGCCAGCAGCAATTAGCAAACACCTGATGGAACAGCTGAGCTCCTTACAGGAGCTGCTTCTCAGAGCAACACTGTTAAAAGGCTTAATAGAGGAGCCATGTTGGGATGACTTCCTGGAGGCGGAGCTTCAGAAAGGAGTTTTTAAAGAGACACACGCCCAATTTCATGGCATTAAACTGAGAAGTCAAATTTCTTTTAAGTTATATTTGATATATAGCATTTTAATAACAATCGAAGTTAACATAGTTGGTTTATTCAATAAATAAATGCACTATGTGGCTGGAAAACATGGTACTACCCTTTAATCTTAAATCCTGCAGGAACATATCAATAATTTAAACTCTTAGATGCACCTGCCTGCATGAGCCACAGGAAAACAAAAACAGTTTTATACAAAAACACGTCTTAGACAGGCTGGTTAAACTTCAGTACTTTTTGCTGCTTATTTCCTTTTTTTATCTTCTTCTAACCAAAACTCTTCCTGGTTCAACTTACTGAATTAGTTTTATTCACTCTGCTGATTCCTAATTACACACAGCTCACAACAGAGACGTTCACTTCAGTCCTCCGTTAATTTGAGTTAAAAGTCGTATTTATATCCATTCCCGTTCACCTGATGCTAAAAAAAACTGATTTAGGTTGATAATTTAAGGCAAGGCGTCTGCAACCCTCATTAACACACAACTGTTTGGTTTCATTTATGAAGATAATATCTTACTTTCTATATTTATGGCTGTCGTTCTCGATTTATGTTTTTCTTCTGGCACTTTTTTACCATTGATTTTTATTTATTTATGTTTTTTTTAATTAAACAAATAAATAAAGTCATAATAATATGAGATCAAGTGATAATTTTCTGAGAAATCCTCCATGAAACTGCGTCAAAATTAGGAATGTTGAACAAGTTACACTTGGCATTCCTGTTACAAATACAGAAATACTTAATTTTTTAAAACAACAGAGTGAAATTATCATGACTTTTAAATGATTTTAAAGAAAGAGCCACACAGATTTGCTGAACCGCTCAGGTTTTGAGAACTCCAGAAGCTTTTTACTCATTAAAACATTTTTCTTCTCGTGATTTTACATTTAAATCGTTACATGTATGTCTTTTTGCAGCACTAAATGAATTTTTGAATTGTGAAGTTGCAGACTCCTGGTCTAAGGAAACCATTGATTGGCTGCAGTTCTTGATCCTGAGCAACACAGGGCAGCAGTGGAGAGTACGCGCAGATTTTTAGTTTTCTTGCCACCCCTCTGATGGCACCCAGGACACAGAGCCATATAACCCATGTCGAGAAGAGCCACTGCCTCCTTCATAGAAACTGGGAGCTGGTTCCACAGAAAAGCTCGACCTCTAACCACCTGAGAAAGTCAGCAGGAAACCTGCAGTCGTTTGACATGAAGTTTGGTCATTCAGGGCAGAAGAAGAAGAAAATCTGTCATGTTCTAGTTTTTGTGCTTTTCTCTTTTGGTGAAAATGGTGTAAAAAATAAAAAGTGGTCCTGGGAACCGGTTATTCAGTCTGATGGGTTGAAATGAGTCCACACATGCAGACTGTGGTTCTGCAGGAGCCGGCCTCCATCCTAGCTTCACATTTCCAAATTTCTTCTAGAAACTTTTGACAAGATCTTCTTTTTCTCATTAATGTTTTACTTTTGGAGCTCAGTATTTTTTAAAAACTTGTTGTTTTTTTTGGTGAAAATTTCTGATATTTATTTGCAAATGTCATGTTTTTAGCAGACATTCACTCCTTTTTTAATCTGCTATAGCATTAATACACCATCTCAGAAAAACCTGCCATCCTTGGTCATTTCAGCCAAACTGATAACAAAAATATTCTTTTAAATCTCCCTGATGTTGTGATAACATGAACACAAAACTCTCTTTCCAAACAGGAAACATGCAGCTGATGCCTACATTCATCAGAAAATAAGCTTTTGTTAAAATTTAAGTGAAAAGGGAACAAACTACATTAAAATGACTGAGTTTTGCATTTATACCTCAAAGAACTGAAATGATTTTCCTGGTTCATGTAACATGTCATCAAATCTCTGTTTTCTCTCAGATATTTAGAATGTCAAAGCTCTTCCTCCTGTGCAATTTGCACAAAATGTATGGAAGAATAATCCTGTCAAAAAAAAAACAAAAGCATGCATTTTCTGTTCTGGAGCAGAAATTCTTATATTTATACTCAGAAAGTTTGCTGCTCTCGCTCCAAACTCTGAAGTCTCTGAAAACAAATCCTGATTTCCTGCAAACACACAATGAGAAGCATCGAATCTCTCAGAATGCAAAAGTCACTTCATCAGGAGTGAACTTTGAAAACTGGCATAAAAATGCAGATAAGTCACAACCACATGTTTCTGTTCTATTAGCTGAAAGTTTGATAAGCGAAGCAAAGAAAAACAATCTCAGGATAATTTCCAAAAGAAAGAATCAAGCTTCCCTTCTTCCATCCTTTTGAAGGAAAGAAATATTTGATCCAAACTTTCAATCAGCAGCCTGTTGAGTGGGAGCTGCTCCAACCTTCCTGTGAAGATAAAAGACGCTCTCTTTTGTATTTTGACTGAAACGTTCCTCTGTACAATCACATTTATTTGCTCATGTGTGAGGTTGTGTGTGATCCATGTTCTTGTTGTAAATGCCTTTGTAAATTTTAAGAATGTTTGATTTCTTTTGTGGTTCTGTGTTTTTTCCCGCTGCAACGACCCAATCCACTTATTTTCTAGCAGATTGGAAACGGAACAACGTCTGACCTGAAGTCATCAGTTTTTTAAATCTAATTGTTTTCCTTGTATAATGATTTCTGGGTGCATGTCTCTGTTCGAAGATGATCTATATGTTAAGGACGCAGCAAGTTCTACCTGAGCAAACGTTCTTCCAGAGCTCTTATTTTGAAAATCTCCAGGCAGATTTCAGATGTTTTTATCTTTGTTCTTTAAAAATGGGCAGACTTTTCTGAAAAAGTATTTTTGTGTGTCAGAAACAAAGTCCCTGTGTTATACAGCTGCGCACAAACTCACTGTACTGAACTGTTTCCTCTGTTCCTGGTGCAATAGCTGCTTCCTGTCACACACTGATGTGTCTTCATAGGCCGTGTTTTTGTTGTGAAATCTAGTTCTTTCAATCTGTGTTTTTGCAAAGTATGGTTCCACTTTTTACTTTTTGTTTGTCTGTTAGTTGTAGTTCTTCAAAATCTATCATAGAAATGCAGATTTTTAATCTTTTTGTCATTGTTTTGTTTCTGCACTCCTTTAGTTTTTCACATGTGTTGAAGAAAATAATCACTAGCCTGGATGGAATGGACACAGATTTGATATTTACATTTATTTTAATTGTTTTTCTTCTTATTTTTAAAATTATTGTCAAACTAATGTTATTCTAACCTGAAGCTCGTCGTCTTTATATATCTGGATCCTCACAGACATAAAAACAGAAACAACCTCACTGACATTTGGCTTCTGCATGTGGAGAGAAAGTAATCTCTTGTCTGTGTGCGTGCATGCGTGGGTGTGTGTGTGTGTGTGTGTGTGTGTGTGTGTGTGTGTGTGTGTGTGTGTGTGTGTGTGTGTGTGTGTGTGTGTGTTTGCTGGTTTATCCATATTTACTTATAGCAGAAAACCTGATTCTTCCTTTGTTTGATTCCAGATTTGCTGTAATCAAGCTCCACATGTTCAGATGGTATTTATGAAAACACAGTAAAAACACGACAGAAATGTCCATTTGATTATAATTTCTTTATTAGTGTTTACGTTTTTTCTCAGAGACTGTGACACATTCAAGTGGATACAGAGCGACCTACAAGAGGCGTCTGACCTTCTCCAAAACTATTTTCAAAACATATGTTCTGGTTTTTATTATGTAAAATATTTCACTAAAATTATCAGGAGACATTTCACTAATTTTTCATTTATCTCTTTGGCATTTTTGCTAACTTTGAAAACATTTAGCACACTTAGCTTCTCCTACATTAATTAGTTCACATTAATTCTAAAGCACTAATTTACTTACTTGTTTTGTCCATTTCCCAGTTGAGTAAAGAGTCAGTCCAGTGTCATGATCCCAGTTGGGATTGGTTTTGGTGAACAGAATAATTTTTGTTGTTGCTTCAGAGATGCAGCGGATCGCTGTGCACTGCAGCTCAGAAACCAGTTTTTAAACAAATAAAGTGGGGATTTGATCATATTACACTGAATTATGCTCATTATACTGAGCTCAATTATTTAGGTGACCACCAACATTTTACATATATCCTTTAAATATTTCCTTTTCTTTCATTTAAGGTTGAGAATTATATCCTGTCTATGTGCTTTTTGTTCTTTTTCTTTATGGCAAAAAACTAAACAACTTTTTTAAAAATGCTGCAACTTAAGAGTGAGTTGTTATTTTTACTATAGTAGATTTTACAGAAGGATTTAGACCAGATTTTGCTTCAGCCATTGTTTTCATTAAGTTAATGTTCTTTAGGAGTCTTGTCTCCTCTACATCAGGCTCTTTTTTAAATATCCGCCTCTGCCTCACTCTCTGAAAAACTTTCCCACATCATTTTTATGAAGCCCTGAG